TAGAGTACGGGCTTCACAGGGTATAAATAATACTGGTTAATCTTACAGTGTGGGAGGCAATTCTTATGGTGTGCTGGGCTAACTTGGTCTGCAGAGTCTCCTTGGATTCTGCCAGGTCATGGGGCTTGGCCTCCAAGAACCAGCCCCTGGAGGAATTCCTTTTGTTATCTTTGGTCTGATAACGGCAGGGTGTTCTGATGTTTCTCCCAGGACTGTGGAGTTCCTTTCTCTTTGCTGAGCAAAGGCACAGAGCACGATTTCTCTCAGCGTGGCAAAACAGAAAACGGGTAGGACGGTGAGATTAGGGGGTATGGCCCACTGACAGCCACTGAGCTACAGAAGGCCTGGTGTGTGTGACGGGAGGCAATTTTATACCCCCACCCCCACCCAGAACTAGTTCGCCATGTTTTTCCTTGAGTTCAAAAGGGCTGTCAAGGACAGGACATTTGGGAGGGCGCTCATTCCTTCAGTTGCCATCGGTCAGAGATGACTTTTTATTTATTTATTTATTTATTTAAACGTTTTTATGCCGCCCCATTCGCCGAAGCCTCGGGGCGGCTTACAAACAATAAATAAAGGCAATTATAAAATAAATTACAACACATATAAACATTAAAAATCCAAAAAATACAATATAAAATAAGCCGTCCTGGCCAGATAAGATCAAATAATATTAACAGTTAAAATGCCGCTTAAATAAAAAGGACTTGACTGAACGTGACAGTTTTCCTTGCTTCACAGTGCAAAACTTCCAGTTCACTAAGATGTCTGAAAACTTGAAGGCATCCTGCATAGACATAGGAAGAGGGGGTGACCAGTCTGCTGATCAGATTTGCAGATGATACTAAAATGGGGTGGTGGCTGCAACTGAGGAGTAGGTACTCTGGATCCAGAAGGATCTGTGTAGACAGTGGAAATGGATGAGGGACAACAGGGTGGTGTTCAATGTGGATAAGTGCAAGACACAAGGGATGGGTACAGGTTAGGGAAAAAGTGGCTGTAGAGCAGCACCTCGGGGTGCTGGTCACCTGCAGGCTAAACATGAGTCGTCAGTGTGATGCGGTGGTCAAAAGGGTGAATGCCATCCTTGGTTGCACAGCCAGAAGTGTGGCTTCTAGATCAAGAGAAGTATTACTACTACTCTATATGACTCTGGTGCAGCTGCAACTGGAGTATTGTGTTCAGTTTTGGGCTCCACATTACAGGAAGGATATAGCCAGGTTAGAATTGGTGCAGCGTTGGGCCACAAGGATGGTGGCCGGATTGCAGGGAAAGCTGTATGAGGGAAGACTGAGGGAACTGGGTCTTTCCAGCCTGGAGAAGAGGAGACTCCAAGGGGATCTGTTGGCGACATATAGGTACATGAGAGGGTGTCACACACAGGTGGGTAGAGATCTGTTTTCCCATGTGCAGGAGGGCAAGACACGTTCCAGTGGAGCCAAGCTCAGGGAACCAAGGTTCAACTTGGATGCCAGGAAGTACTTCCTTACAGGACTCCTACAGGACTTCTACAGGAGGTGGTTGAAGCCCCAATGGTGAGGGTGTTCAAGGATAGGCTGGACATGCACATGGTAGGCATGGCATGAGCGGAGCTGGCTGGAGTCTGGGGTCAGACTAGATGGCCTGGGAGACCCCTTCTGACTCACTCTGTTTCTGTGTTTCTACACTCTGTATCATGTATGCATTATCTAGTTAGTTTTTACATTCTCAAGGATTTCATCCCCTTTGAGTCATGCCACTTTCCATAAACACAAAAATCCTTTGCTTAGCTACCAAGGCTAAGGGAAATTGATGACTCCTGGTTTAACCTAGTGAAGCTTCCACATGTTCGCCATTCCCTGTTCTTCCTCTTCCAAGATGCATGGCATGAAGGCAACAGTTCTTGCTGTCTCTACGATTTTCTGAATCTGCTTATTTTGGACAATGTGTGCACTGTACTCCCTTTCTTACATGCTCTCTCCAGTACTCTCTTTCTGCAGCTTGTGCAAAATAGTAAATTTTTAGCTGCTTTTAAAGCTTGATGTTGGTGCGTGTGCATTGCGGCCTTCTTACAGGGGAAGATAGAAAAGCTGCCATATGCTTTCCTTCAACAAAGTAGCTGATACTCCCTGAATGTTCAAAAGCAAAGACTTCCCTGGTGGGCCAGTAGTTCCTTAAGCATTGCTGGCTACTACTCCACTTCACTTGATCCTCCTGCTACGGTCTCAGAGCTAGGGGTGCCACATTGCCCCTGCACAACCCTCTGCAGATCACCCACCGTGGAAGGGATAGGACACCTCACTAGCCAGTGCAGCTAAAGCCAGTGAGTGGGTATGAACAGCAAGGTTGCTGGCCCTCTGGGAGACCAGAGCTGCTTGCCTGGTTTGGAACAAAGCAGGGAGTGGGGACCGTGACAAGCCCCACTCGCGTACTGTTCTCCCCAGCTCTGTCATAATCCTGCAAGGGCTCATTTCTGCTGGACTGGCCAAGATGAGAAGTGTCCAGAGAAACTCGAGTACTGTGCTCACCCATACACACTCTGGAACTGTAGGTAAGCTGAAAGCAGGCAGCTGTGCAATAAACCAGACCCCTTTTTTAAAGCAACGCAGAGATGGTTAAACTGGTTCATTTTTAGTTGGCTAAAGCTTTCAACTCTAGTTAAAATGAAACTTGCCGAATCCTTTCACATATGATAATCAGATAAATCAATCACATAAAGTGGATAATGAAATATTTCCTGTATTTTGACACCTTTTGATGTGGTTTATAGTTTAGTGGTTTGTGGTTGGTGTAATTGTATAATTAGGCATTCTGTATTATCTACCCTTGACAGTTTATTTTTAGAGATAGTGTAGCCCACATATTCCTGTTTCTAACTGATGCAGTGGAGTTGGACTTTGGACAAAGCATTCTGAACCCAAATCTAACTCGGCTTTTGTGTCAGGACATCTTTATGACTTGTTTGATGATCTTGTACTACCACAGCTCCGGCTGACCTTACGGATTTTCACACTGAGGTTTGGTTGATGAATACACACTCATTTATGTTTCATTGTGACTGTGCAGTGTGGTGCGTAACAGGATCACGTCATCCCATGCTGCTGAACGGATAAAGTGCTTTAAATAGGCTCATGACATTAGTGCGATGCTGCAATGAGGGAAGCGTGAAACTGCCAAGCTTAATCTTATCACGGTTCTCATTTTTCTCCTGCCAATCTTGTTTTATCCCAATTCCATATGGAATTTGGTATGGATCAGAAACCTGTAAATAATTTTGTGCAAATTTTTCAGATGTACACATGCAGCTTTCAAGGAAAGTATATTTGTGTACATTTTAGAAATGCACATTTTCCCCACACTTTTTCAAATGGGAGCATGTGGTTGAATGCATTCATTTTTTCATGCAAGCTGACGGCTTTATGGGTTATTAATGACAAATTGCATTCATGTCTGAATTTAATTCTGGAGTATAAATCAGGTGAATCTGTGCTTGTTTCTTTGTTTTATAACCTTGGCAGAGCAAATATCTTCCCCATCCCTTAGCTGCTGCAAGTTAAAATTCTGTCAAGCAGCAACTCTTGGGACTCAGTGATTTAGCTATCTCCTTGAGTTCAGTAGTTAATTAGGTAATTGAACTTGCCTGCACATAAATCTCTAGGCAAGATCATTTCAGTTTTGAGCTACTAAGTCCAAACCCCTTTTAAAGAATCTTGTTTTTAAAGCTGATTCACTTGAGTTGCAGTCCAATGCATGTTCAGCAGAAGAAAGTCTTACAGCAGGGGTGTCCAACTTGCGGCCCAGGATGGCTATGAATGCAACCCAGCACAAAATCGTAAACTTAAAACATTACGAAAGTTTTTTGAGATTTTTTTTTTTGTAACTTGATTGTGTGCTTCTTGAGTGTGAACTTTGTAGATGACAACATTGTATCGCAGTGTCGTATAAAATAAACATACGTATGCTCTTGATATTTGTATACATGTGTGGCTTCAGTTTTATGGGGGTGTGCGGCTTCCATTGTGAGCAACTATTTTCAAGAATGAAGCATGCTAAGAGTAAAATTAGAACTAAAATATCTGATGAGCACCTTGAGAACGCACTGAGAATTGCAACTACTTCCATTGAACCAGCTATAGATGCTTTAGTTTCTCAAATGCAATGTAAAATATCCCACTAGTTTTATGTTGCCCTCTTTTCTTTTACTTTTACAATAAAAATATCAATGAAGTTTTGTTACTTAGATATGTTCATTTTCTATATTTGGGATTGCAAACTTGGGACTTGCTTGATTTTTTTAAAGACTCTCCAAATGGGGTACTGCATAATTAGGATTATTACATGAGGACTCTTTCGCTTATCTGTGGCGGATATCAAAAATATTATGCACAGACCTTTGTTTTGCTCACCAGCTTTCATTAGTGTTTGTGTATTTAAGACAATTCTTCTTCTTCCAATGTGGCCCAAAAAGCCAAAAGGTTGGACACCCTTGTCTTATATCTAGCAGTGATCTCTAGGCAGCATGGCTAGCTTTGACTCGCTGGGAACTGAGGGACATTTTTCTGTGTAATCATGCACAGAATTGCAGCCTTAGGGGTGCAGAAATGGCGCCTATTTGAATTTTGATGGTTTTATTCTTGAAAAAGAATATGTGTATCATATTATTTTCATTTCTCATGCCTTGATCAAAGAATTCTGGGAAACTATACCTTAGAAACCATGTTGAGTATTCTTTGTTGAAGATCTACGGCTCTTTCACAAGATTACAGCTTGGTGGGGAGAGGAAATGACTGACTAGTTTGTCCATGATGTAAATATGCCAAAAATGTGGTATGTTTTGAGCATTCTGGCTAGGCTGCTAAACATCTGCAAGTATATAAACCTCAGACTGTACTTTTATTGCAAAACATATCCAAAAAACCCAAGAATGTTAGATTGTTTATGCACTAATGATTGCTGTTTCTACAAATTTCAGAGCACAGCTTTATGTGGTTTGTTCAATAACATGAATGTTGTCGTTCCAGATTCCTCACATCAACTTCAGAACTTCACATGTGTAACACAGGATTTTAATGATGTTAACTGTACCTGGATTGAAGCCTCCACAGATGACTTTGGATATAGTTATAAATTCTGTTACACTGCCAGGTAACAGCTGATGGTTTCTTGGGAAAGGCATTGTACAAACATGTTGCCCATTTGTGCTTGTTTTTGATGATCTGGTGTAGAGTGGTAGCTACAGAAATCATTCAGATTTCTCCTCTGTTATGAATTTACTAGGCAATATCTGGGAAACTTTTCGACTTTGACCTCAATCCCCATATAATCATTCTAACAGATGTAACAGCACTTCTCTTAACAATTACAGCCAGATAATGTATGTTAAGTGCTTTAAACATTAATACTACTCTGGTGTGGTTTGCAATGCATATGGGGATATTGATTCCAACTACCAATTATCTTCCACTGTTTGCTGTGTCTGAATAGGAAGAATTAAGGCACCAGCTTGGCCTAAAACCCCTCTATGAATGTTTAGACTTAGAAATGGCTTAGAAGTCCCAGCGTGTCCCAGGGAACTGCATCTTTAAAAGCTCAATTAATGCATCGGGGTGGGCAAATCTATGAAGCTTTCTTATTATTATTTATTACATTTCAATATCACCAATACCTGAAGCTCTCTGGGTGGTTCACAAGAGGATATAAAAATGATAAAATATTTATTTGTTCATGTTCTCCTTTTCTAACATTAACTTTGCTGTCTTGATTCTATATGGAATTACAATTCTTTTTAGTCCGCAATATGTATGTGTATATATTGTTGTGTGCACTTTACTACTTCCAATTTTGAACACATTCTCCAAACTGGGTAAAGCATTTGTGTGTGTGTTTTGACAAGTGTATCCATTTTTGTGCATAATTTTTGATACAAACACATTTTGTACGCATTTTGAGAAATGTGCGCATTTTCTTTTACACAAACTACAATACATATGTGCAACTTTCCAGTGGAAGACTGTGTTGCTGCTCATATTTAGTTTTGGGAAGTGCAAATTTTATAAGTTTGCACTGAAATGTGATCCAAATTTCTAACCCATTTCTAGAGTGAAAAAATAATACTTTTCAACACTTCTCTTGCAAAAGAGTGGTACTTTACTGAAGCAAAAGTAGTTAAAAGAACAGTAAATAACATTTATAAGCCAACAATTTCTCTTAAAGCAAGTGTAGGGAGTGATTAAACTCTATAGTTCTTCAAGTTCGGAAGTGCCATGTCTGATCTTCCCAAAGTTGTCAGTGTCCAGCTAAAGCCAGCAGGAACGAAACCAGGTGACCCTATTAGGCAGGGTTCATCAAATGAATTACTACACGAGGAAAGCTTTAATCTTAGAGCCATTCTCTGTACTTCAGATGCTTGGGGCACTTGCACACAACTATTACTTGCTGGGGAATGCTGGGAATTGTAGGATTTTCTTCTGCGTAAACTTGCATAGGATGTTTAAGAAGCATAGAAAGCTGGTGTAGAATCTTATCTATCAGAAATGCAAATTAGAGACTTGCTACTAATTCTGTCTAAAGCTGTGGTCCCCAAACTTACTTGGACTGCCACCCCGTTTCCTCTTGGGTGACAACCCTAGTGCTCCATGCTTCTTTCTTTGAGACAGAGATGCTAGAGTTGCCCTACCTTAGATGAATTAACCAATACCCTTTGCTTGCCTAGCTTCTCTCTCCCCCATCCCCATTCTTACCAGGGCATCAAGAGGAAGGTGCCATGGTGGGCAGCCACTTGCAGGAGGGGGGTGAGGCAGGCTCTTTGGCAGTCCTATTTTACAGACTTTTGCCATTTTGTTCTCCTAATGCCCCCTGCTCCTCATTTTCCTCACCGTCCCCCTGGCTCTTTCTACTGCCCGTGTGGGAGTGGTACCACTCACTTTGGGAATCACCTATCTAAAGGATTTAGAGATGGGATTTTTTGGCGGGGGCTAGGGTTTTTTTTTTTTTTAAAGAAGGAAACATGGTTGTACTATCACCTCTTTAAGGGGCTGAAGAACCATTCCTTCTCTCAGAGGAACATTCCCAAGCAGCCAAATATCAGCTAGAAGCTGGAAGAATCCCAAGACAAATATTGTTCATTTGTTCCAAGAGTCTCATCCACATTCAGGCTGAAACAGCTAATAGCCATTGAAGCAATACCAGCATCATGAGGCTGAGAGCATCTCTACTTTCAAGCACTGTCATCAGTGGGGATGTCGCAAGCCAAGTGTGAAAGATACTTACCTGCAAAGTGTTGCGCTATTAAGGCATGGCGGTTGGCTGGCTGTCAACACTGCCAGATAAGGGTCTGTTTCTGTTTAAAGCACACACGACTCAAACTGTTCTCTTGTACATCACTGAGCAGATGCAAAACTGTTGGGTGAAGAGTTACTGCTGCCATGAACTCTTCCAGTGAAGCATAGCCTGTAAGTTGGCCTCTTACGCCTTTCCAAAAAACGAATAAAAGCATTACAGAAGACACACAGAATTTGCATTAGGATGCTTGCTCCAACAAATCTATATATAGCTGCAAAACAGAAAGAATTACTATGGTTTAGAAATGTAGTCCATCTCATCACCGCAGAGACAGCTGGTACTTCGATGTCCTGTGTGACTTCTCAGTCTGCTGTCCAATTTTTAACTCTCCATGGCCAACTTAAAGAGCTCTTCTTTTGATGGTTCTTTATCTTTAATTGGACTTGGCCTGGACAGCCCTTCAAACAGTGGACATGTTAAGAATAGTGTAATATCCTTTAATATTCCTCTTCACGGTTTCCATTTGTGTTATGTCACCCCTTACTGGTGAGTTTTAGATATTTACTGGAGACCTTTCCCAGCCATGAGTGATCTTTGTACCAGTTTCATGATTTGGGACATCTATGTTCATGAACAGTTTTTGTTTGTTTTGATTCTTTTGTAGCCTACTTGAAATCAGTTTCACATGGCAAACCACATCAGTATTGTAAATAAATACAGAAAATAGTACTGTAATTTTATTTAAAATTAGGATCGTGGTCATGCTGCTATACTGTATCCTGTCAACTTGGTTATTATCCAAAATAATAACAAATATGCTGCCCATGCATATTTGTGAATAGGAAAAAACCTGCCCTGGCAGAATGCTGTTAAATGTTGGATGTTGCTCAGTCCTTGAGTTTTAACTGCTCTGCTGCACTGCCTTCTCTTGGAATTCCCAGTGGGTGGTACTGCCTAGTAGGCAGTGGCTAAAGTACAATGCAAGGATATGGGCAAGAAAAAATGACTGAATAATGTTAGTGTTATATGGCAATCATGTTTCTGTTCCTGATGCTACACCTGAAAGTGATTTGGTAAGCTGCTCTGAATATAGATATTGTCATCCTTCCCCCACCAAAAAAAAGTTAGGCTGTGTTACACTGTGACCTCTATTGGGCCCTAATATCAGTCTGTTTTTCTTTTCTTTTTACAACACAGCTCTGAAGCCAGTGTCTTTATAATTCAAGTGATAAAATGGTTGCTAATACTATTCTGATATTGGCCTTTGTGTGCAGATTTCAAGACAGATAATAAGGATATTGCTAATTACTATATTATTCATGTTTGTTGTTGTACCATAAATTAAAATGCTTTTATTTTAGTGCCTGTATTAAACTTGAAACATGGCTTAATCTTCCATTATCTTCCATCTTTTTCAGCACTTCTTCCACTACAGAATGTTCAGTAACTGAGGATAAAAGAGCAACACTTAAACTGTTCTCATTTAACTCTGTTAGAATAGAGATAACCACCTTGCATTCATCTGGAGGAGTGGGAAGCCCGATAGCTACAAACTCATTTCTGCTGACGGAGAAAAATATTTGTAAGTATATTTTGGTTTCATACTGAGACTGGTCTTAATTTAGACACAATCCTGTGCATGTTTTGACAGAAGAAAGACTAGAGCTTCCAGCATGCCATGTCAAAGCATGCATAAGAGTGCACCCTTTATCACTTCTAACTCAACAGGGGTGTTTGGCTGTCCAGCTGCAATGCAGTCTAGTATAAAGGGAAGACGTGCCTTAGGTTTGCATATGCCCACCCTTTAACCCTTTAAGTTACTTTAACATCTGTTTAAAGTAAAGGCAGCATACAGAGCAATTTATACAACTGGATCTTTGTAGGCCTTTTCCTATGTGTCCAGAATTTTAAGCATCTACCTCCATCCAATCTAAATCTTTTTATTCTTGCACTAAAGACCCTTTCAGTTTATGCTAATACATTTTGTTTCTTATATTCTCATTCTTCAGTTGTGTGCACAGCAAGTGAGGGTAACCAGGCAAGCTATTTTTATGGCATTTATATTTGATTCTTTATGAATTCATTGCATTGCATTGCGTGCTTGTGTGTATACCTACATTTATATCTGTCTCCCAGATGAAACACAGCCTGTTCAGAACTTTGCTCGCTCCATAAAATTCTTCTGTCACTTCTATATTCAGAAGGGAGAGCTCTCCATTTGGAGCATATGAGGATGAATTAGAAGTAATTTCCTATCTTGGAATTTAGCCAGGCAGTAATCTTCCAGAAAAGCAGCTCATATTTCATAATAATTGGGCCTCTGTTTATAAGTTGGAAGCCACCCAATTTTCTGTCAGCATAAGACTTTCTTGAGCAAGCTTTGAAACAGTAACATTCAACCCTGTAGATTTTCTCAAGGCTCAGTTCAGACATTGTAGCTTGCTTTCAGGGGCTTGGAGCAGACTTCTATTGGAATAGGCTGGTCTGGCAATCAGCCAAATGCCATGTAGCCAGAGATAAGTGCTTGTAAATCCCATAGTTTTCAATCATGTGCTTAACTGTATTCTGTTGAAATCAGTGAAATTTAATAGAGCTTAACTTCACCTTGGTCATGGTACTGCAAATAGGAAGATTATGGGAGTGAGGCTGAGACCCTCTAATCTTAAGAACATGAGCAATACAGGAAACTGCATTATATTTGGTCGGAAGATTTGTCAATCAAAAAGAATTGTCTAGGTAATTAGCAGCTCTCCAGGCTGCTCCCCACAAAGTTTTTGGACCATGGACACATTTGGGAACTTGAGAAACCAGTGTAGGCATCACCACAAAATGCCTAATTGCTAAATTGCTGCATCGGCATCTGCCTTTTTTGTCTCTGGGTCTTAAACTATGTCATATTCAGCAAAAACATTTGGTTTGTGTCTCCTCGATAAGGTACTGTGTAATTCAGCTAATTGCTGGCCATGCAATACACCTAATGTTTTGTTTAAACTTGTGTTTTAACCATGTCTAGTAGTTCCTTACTTTTGGAAGAAGATTATTAACACATACACATTTTCTAATTGTACAGTCTCTTTGATTCACTGATGCACATGCTTTTAAAAATTGTTTTCCTGCTTCCTGAAAATCAACAAATGGATGACACAAAACACAGCCAAAACACAAACATTGCAAAATTAGAAAACTAAGCACTCACCTTCTTTAATGCAATGTATTAAGTAGCTCACTTCACTTTCAATATGTAAAACTTGGCATATAAATGTCAGCTTCAAAGGAATACTGCCTTGGATATATGGCTCATTTTTGTTAAAGCCTATGTATAAGTGCTGGAAAAATATGTGTATAAATCTGTGTGTATATATATATTTTTTAAAAGGAAAAACTGACAGATGCCCTTTATGCATGCCACTGGAGGCACATGGTACCCGTGGTACCAACTGGGACCACTGCTCTGGGGTCTAGGGCAGGAATACTTTCTGTCACCTAATTTTTAAACTAGGGATTAAGAAATAAATTAATTTTGATTTCTGTCAGTGTCTCATTTTTCTAATAGGAAGTTTGGATAATCTCATTTGCAGCTCAGGTTTGAGAATTCCATTTTTCTAATCTACACGCATTTGTTATATATTTTCATGTGTACTTTCTGGATAGTTTTTTAGTATTTTAAGTATTTTCTTTTGAATCATTTTTATTCATCAAGTTGAATAAAACAACATCCTCAGTTGTTTATTATGTCTGTTATACTATTATTTTATATTATTAGTATTTTGTATAGTTTATGTATCAGATTGGTTCATTGTAAAGGGGCACATACAGTCTGATGAATATTAAAGGACAAAAAAAAAACTCGAGGGCTACATATTGGCTATTTTACTTTTTACATAGCCTACTTTCTGTATAGCTGGTCAAGAAGGAGTAACTCTTCTTGTTGTAGGAGAACAGTTATTATTATCACTATTTGTTTTATTTCTACATTGCCCAATAAGCTGAAGTTTTCTGATGAAAAAACAGATTTTAAGAATACCAAATATAGATGGGTTGTATCCGCTTGGGACAGCGAGATGCAAGAATTAAAAATGCTCTACAGCTCTTGATAACCAAATGGTTCTGACTGTCATTTCTTTCTTCCCCCCACTCTCCAGCATTTATTCCTCCCACTCCAAAGATTCACAGCTTGACTCCTAACTACATAACTGACAAGTTGGATCTGGAATGGTATGATGGCGGTTCAGCCTTTCCATATGAAATAGATGCCACCTGGGAAATCCAGATCCTACGAAAAGATCCCATGGTAGAAGTGGCTCTGGTAAGCTGTCCTGCTTTACTCTTCCATTACTTGTACATGTACTTGTTCCATCCTAGCCTTGAGATGCAATGCTTTAGAGGGAAACACACACACAAACAAAACTCTGCTATGAAATGCAAAAAGTATTTCTAGAATGTTTACATGCTTTTATTTTTTATTGTATTTATATGCCACCTTTTTTCTTTCCAAGGAAGCTTATGTAATTCTCTTCCCCCTTTCATACTTAGTCTTACAAGAACAGCCCTGTGAGGTGGGTTGGGCTCAGAGTCTGTGACTGGCCCAAAGTGGGCTCCATGGCTGAGTGGGGACTAGAACCCAGATCCCCTGAGTCCCAGGCCCTCTTTCTTACCACTGCACCACACTGGCATAGGACACAATTGAGTCTGTTCAGGCAACCTTTGAGTTTGCTACTGACATTGCTGCCCCCCTGTTTCTTTATTGCATATATTATTTGCCCCTTCCCCTCAAAGAGCTTGTGGCAGCATATATACCCCAATTTCATTCCTACAACCATGTAAATGTTAGGCTTTCTAGGCCCAGGCGTGCCTAGCAAGTTTTGTGACTGAGCAAGGATTAGATTGCAGGTCTCCCCAGTCATAATCAGACCCTTCAACCACTGCAACCATACTGGTGGTCGAGAGGGGCTTGGCTCACTTCTAGTGTAATGTACTTTTCCAAGGTTGTCACCTCAGAATCTGAATCAGAATTGGAAGAGGAGGCAAGGTTGGGAATTTTAACTGATAGTCCAAGGCCAGCAGGCCCAGCAGTAAGCCAAGAGGCCAGTGAGAACCAGTCTGCATCTGGTTCCATGAGAAACTCTGTTGAACAAGCAGAGTTGCATGGGGGTGAACTTACCATGCGGTGTCCAATTAAAGGGCAGCCCAGTTGAGTAGCAGCATGAATTGTAAAAGGCAGAGTCAAATCCTTTTATTTGGGAAAGGAGGAGAGCTTTCAGTTTGACATCAACTTCTGTCTTTAAGTTGTATTTTCCTAATAGCTAGGATTTGAACTTCACTGGTCTCTTTGTCCAGGACTACACCAATGCTCTTTTGTATCACAGAACCAGCCCATAATAAAGACTTCAGTTAGAAGCCTTTTATCCAGACCTGCTTGGAAGGGTGGGGGAAGACTGGCTTATCAAAATTGGGAAGATCTAGCCTTAACTTGGTTGTTTTTTAAGACAGGTAATTCTAGGGAAAAAGGCCCTGTCAGCAAGTGCAGTTGTGGTGACTTTTGATACCCATTGGCAAAACCTTTGTAATAAAAATAGCTTGTGACTAAAAATGAGTCATTTGGTACATGAATAAAGAAATGATTAAATGTTAGAAGTGGGAGGTACCAAGAAAGATGCTGGAATCAGAAACATTAGTGCAAAGCTGGAGGTTATAGAAAGTGAAGAAAACCAGCAAGCTACAGAATATTACAAAGCTATAATATGGTCTAGTATGGTACAGAAGTTGAATTGCTGAACAGAACCAGAGAGAAGCAAGTTCAAATCTTTTCTTGGCTATGAAACTGAGTGACCTCAGGCCAGTCACCATATTTGTTGCAGCATAGAAATGTTTTAAATAAAATAAACAAATAAATAAATATTTCTTACTCTAAATTGCCTCACAGGTTTGTTGCAAGGAAAAAAGGGGTGAGGATTTTGAATTTGTTCCTCATCCTGACATTTATTTATTTATTTATTTATTTATTTATTTATTTATTTATTTATTTATTAAAACATTTTTATGCCACCCCATTCGCCAAAGCCTCGGGGCGGCTTACAACATTAGCCACCTCATAGTGAACTGTGGATAAAAATCGCATGATCAAATAAAAAACAAACTCTTCTTCCTTCCCTACCCAGCATCTTAATCTTTATTCCTGTATGTTGGCAGCACTGGGGCGAAGGCAGATGGTATCTGAGAAGGGGCCCACCTCTCACACATTACCGTGTGCTCAGACCGATTTGCCCAATTCTGAGGTGGTTGCCTTGGTAGATGACACTCCAGACTGATGTCCTGTGGAGTTTCTCAGCATCCTCTTCCATTCCACATGCTGTATGAAGCCTCTTGGAGAGGTCCTCTGGAGTTTCGGGTTTGGTGTTACCAATAAGCTGATGACACCCAACTCTATTTCTCTTTTCCATCTTATTTCAGCATCTGTTGGAAGTAGTGGAATAGATGAGGGCAAATTGAGGCTTACTCCAGACAAGACAGAAATGGTCCTGGTCAGTTGGATGGTAGATAATCAAATAGGGATTCACCCTGTGCTAGGTGAAGGTATACCTCTCCTGAGGACACAAGTCCACAGCTTGGATGAACTTCTGGATTCAAACCTGAGTGTGGATGCCCTGGTTTAGGCAGAGGCCAGGCGTGTATTTTCATAGTTAAAACTAGTGTCAGCTGCACCCATTCCTGGATCTTTGATTTTGCCACAGTGACGCATGCCTTAATTACATCCCATTTGTATTACTGTAACATACACTTTGCAAGGCTACTTCTGAAGTGTGTTTGGAAACTCCACCTGCCAGGTGGAGTCTGGGGTTGGCTACAGGGAGCATACAGCTCCCTTGCTGAAACAGTTACTTGGTTCTCAGACTGTTTCAGGTCACAATTCAGAGTACTAGCTATTACCTACAAAGTCCTATATGGTTCATATCCAAACAATCTGAAAGACTACATTTTAACCTATGAGAATACCCTTACTTTAAGGAGGTAAGAAGAAGGCCCTTCTCTTGGGCCCACTTATTCACGGGCCCACTTGGTGGGAACATGGGTGGCTGCTCCAATTTTCAGAAACTCTCTCCCTGAGGGAGGCTAGATTGGCACCATCTCTGATACGCTTTTGGAGGCAGGCAAAACCTTTTTGTTCTGGAAGGCCTCTGGGAATATTTTGGAAGACCTGAAGATTGCACTGGACTAGTTTTGTTGTCCAGATTGCACTGGACTAGTTCTGTTGTCCATATCCTTTATATTGTTTTCATTGCTGCTTTAATTTTGATACTTCTATAATTTTAATACTCTGGATGTTTTAACTTGGTTATATTTCTATTAATGTTTTAATTGTATACGTTTTGAATGTTGCAAACCACCTTGGGTCCCAGAGGGCGAATGGATAGAATATGAATAGTAGGCGGAGGAGGAGGAGGAGGAGGAGGAGGAGGAGGATCGTCATGTAAATTGGGATGATGTCTAAAATGCTGAACTGTAGTTTAAATGTATATTCATTAACTAGGATCCTAAACTTGATCTGTCAGTTTACCAATAAAAACATGAAGTGTTCAGACAATTGCTTTTTAAATGCCGTTTTGAAACATTTATTTTTACCTTTTTAGAAAACCTATCATTCAAAATTAACTCGCAAGAACACCCTTCTCCACTGGACTTGGACATCAGACCTGCCTTTTAATTGCACCACCCACTATGTCAGGATTCGCTGTTTTCTTCATGAGAATGCATTTGCTGGGAGCAAGAAGTGGAGTGAATGGAGCCAAATTGAAAGTATTCCTGGTAAGATGGTGCTGTTGAGAAGACGAAGGTAGTTTATCAGAAGTGCATCACTGATAGTATAAAGCAGAGGATGAATGATTTCTTTACATGCTGTGATTTCGTTGCTAAGAGTTGCTGTGATCCTGTGCAACGTGAATGGTTTTAAGATTGCTTCTTGTCCATCTGTCTTTGCTATTGCTAAAAATATGGAAACCTACAGAGAAGCACGAGCACTTCAGGTTTTCTATTAACGGTGTTTAGGAAATGATATTCGTGATGACGATGATGATGATTGTCAAAATTGGCCTTACATGGGAAATCCACTTTCCTATTAGAGGAAATAAGTGTTTTCTGGCTTTATGTCCAGAATGGAATCTTCCATTTCTCCATAGTTTGTATGGTTGAAGACAAGGAATACAATTGTTTGGCAACGGTTCCATCACAAATGCATCTGCTCCTGCTTACTTTAGATTCATTTCAATGCAGCTTACTCGAGAATAACTTCTAAGCTGTTGTGTCTATAGAAGTACTTAAAGGTCCACCTGCTCACTGAAAACCTAGGGAAAGTGACCCAGTGTTGTGCATTGTTCTCCTTTTCACTTCTACCCTTTCCTTTGCAGGACACGACACGGGCTTCTTTGAAGCAGTGTATCCCACAGACAGAGTGGTGCCAGTAGGTTCCAACATAACTTTCTGCTGTGTGGTGCAAAATGGCCATACTTGGACTGATCTGAAGTACAGTTCATGCCCACCACAGAACTGCCCAATTGAGATTCTTTCCAAGTGGAGCATTTCTATACATGCGCCAAATGTTCAATTTCATGAACCATCTGGGAATAATGCATGGTGTTTAATAAAAAACTCAACCACACCACCCCCTGGAACTGTTCTGTTTGTAGGCTGTAAGTATGCATGAATGTACACTTGTATAGTGATGACCATGAATTTAAGGAATTTGGGGAATGCGACCTCATCCAGTTTGGAAATATGGCTTAATTTGAGCTAGGATCATATGCTCTGAAGCTTAGGTCTAGCTTGTAGTGAAGCAATGTAGTGTTCAAACACACTCCCCTTCAAGGGCATGCTTTTATTCTTATGTTAGGCTGAAAACAGATTTAGAAGAAAAGCCATGAATACAGTATTGCAGTGACAGTACTTTAAAATAGGCTAGCTTGGGAAATGGAGTTAAGCCTGGTTGCTTACAGAATTCAAGCAGATACCATATCTTTGAGTCTTTAATGTAAGGGAGCAGACCTTCCTCTTTCTGAAGGAGTTGGCTATCCAAAATATAGGTTGTGACCCAGCCTCAGGCTGCCTAACTTTTATTTTAAAAAAATAAGCAGGAAATGAACTCTAGTGTGATCATGAGGTATCAAATGCCGTGTCCTCCAGGAGTGGCAGAGAAAGACCTTTGAACAATAAGTTGCAGGGGTCAATGCCAGAGGGGGTCTTTTCCTTACCATTCAGAAGCCTGCCCACACATAAGAAAACTACACACATTTTAAATAGTAGTACAGTTTGATGTACAGGCTCTCATCATGCTTTTCTGATAACCGTGGCTCCAGGAGGGTCCAGAAACTCAGGGAATTGTATCAGTCCATATCTATGGGATATGTGTAGCTCACAACAGTATACTGCTTCTGAAAAATCAATCCCATGTGGACTTCTCCTGCTACCATGATGTAGAAGCAAAGCTCAGAGGGAACACAGTGGGAGAGGGAGGTCTGTCGTCACCACCAGGACAAGTGTTTAGGCAGGGGTGTGCGTTCAAGCCCATAGGCCTCATTTTGCCTGTAAGATGGATTGTCACACATTCTGTAGAAGTAGAAGTTATACATGGTGACCATATATGAATGGAGTTCTTTCAGTTAAATAAATTCTATGTTCTTGACAACTTCGACTACTGTGGTGTAGGGTTCAACAAGTGTGCATATATACATGGAAATACCTTGACTTTTTTCTCATTGCTCCAGTACCCCCAGATATTCCACGAAACCTTACCTGTGAAACACACAATTTTAAGGACATAAGATGCAAATGGGAAGAGGGAAGGTCCACTTTCCTGTCTGGCTTGCGAAAAACAATCTATACTTTATCTGAACGGTAATTTTTCTTTCCTTTGGGAGGCTGTTGGGAGAATATTTATCAAGCTCTTGAACTGTCCAAATGTGGCATGTTTTGCAAGTACATGTTGTGAAGTGTTATTTTGAGGAGTCAAATTGCCATTTGTAGTTGATATTTAGGTCCTCCCATTGGGTATTTGGCCAAAAATAAAATTAAAAAGCTATATGGTGTTTGCTTATACTGTTCATTGGGCTAAATATTTCATGCATTCTGATTATTCATTGATAACAATAAAAGGCAAGAGAAATTCATATGGTGAAGACAGAGAACCAAAGCTTTCATGATTCCTGGTCCAACAAAGAGTGAATTGCAATTCAGAGCCAAAAGGTGCTGGCAGACTTCATTGGGTTTAGGTTCTGAAATGTGCTTTGGGAACTGATTATGCTTATTTCAAAGGAGAAACCTCTGAAAACTTTTCTAGCTTGGATTAAAAGCTGAGCTAGAGAAGACTTCCCAGTTAAAGGTTTGACTGCGGTTAGTCAGGCATGGGGAAAAAACCTACCCCAGGGAGGCTGTCTTAGTCCAAACTGGGGGAGTGTGCTTGTGTCTCAGCTTCTCTTCACAGAGACCCAGTAAGAAACTAGCAGAGAAACTCATAAATGTTTTGCTAGGGGGATCTATGAAGATGCCTCTTGGGATCATTTGGGATGGGACACACATCCGCAGTGTGTAGCATTAACTGAAGGGTTCTCCATTGGTTGAGATTTTGGTTCCTATCTCCATTTTTTTCCCGTCAGAGAGCTACTCTCTGCAAAATCAGCAGGACTTTTCCCATGCTTTGCTGAAGGGTGCATTGTAGAGCTGCCTCGATAGGGTTGGAAATAAATAGAGCTGTTTCTTGATTTGGGGATAAATAGCTTAGCTTTTTTCCCCAAGCAGTCGGATGGAAGCCAATGGGAACTCTCCCATCACTACATGGTACAGCTTAAGTTGCATCTAAAATGACTCCAAATATCCTGTGCTTAAATTTGTGGGGTTAAAACCCCTGCTTTTGGTATGATAAACATTTCCTCCAGAAGCTAAAAAGAATGCAAACTTTTGTGTGTATGATTAATCCTTATCAGTGCTGTTTCTGTGGTTGTTGCTCTTTTAAGTTCCATTCTCCCTGCCCTGGCTGGGGAACACAATTATGAGCAGAACACAGGTGAGCAGAATTACGGCCTGATGCCACATTGCCAATCAGAATTGGCTCTGATTACAGCACCGAGGACAATATAAGCAACAGCAAAAATGCCCAAACATTTCAAAAAAGTGAGGTCATTTTTCAGTGCTGAAATGAATTTTCATTTAGCTTGGTTATACTGAAAAGGTAATAAAGGAGAAACTGTAAAATTAAGAAAACACAACTATTTTAAATATCATTATTTATGGATAGATAAAATATAGCCAGTTATGATATAGTTTAATTATATTATATTCTGACTATATCCCAACTTACAGAGATGACAGATGTATTTAATTTAGTTTTCATTTCTTATGCTGCTTGCGTTTAAACCACACTCTTTTCTATACATTTGCAGAATATCTGGGGGAAATGTGACATATACAGGAGAGTCTGAACATTACCAGTGTACTTACCCAGTCTCGAACAATCAAACAATATACAACTTCACAGTTTATGCTTCCAATTCTCTTGGCCAATCAGAAGCTTCTCTTCAAATTGATATAAGACACAGAGGTAAGACTGACCAAAAATAAAACCCATTTCATACATTATCTGTCGGTAATCAGTTCCGCTTCACATTTCAAACCCCAAACAAGAATTTAACTGGATTTCAGAAGTATTCAGTCATATATTTAGCATCATGGACATGGCCTTACTGGATTGACCATACCTGGCAGTTCAGAGTGAGAGGAATGGTAACGGCAGTCCTTGCCTCCCTATTCTCCCACTCAGCAGTTTTGCTAGTTGGACTTCTGTCATCTGGCAAGAGCATCTTGGAGGGGGAGAGAAGGAGGGTGGAAAGGCAACAGGATGCCTCATATCCTGGATGCCCCAGTCATCTTCTCCCCTGCCCCATTTTACAACTCTCCAAGGTTGGAGCAGCAGCAGATGCTGCCAGCTGTCAGGGGGTGGGGAGGGGGTTGGAGCTCTGCTTCCCAGCTCCGAGGTTGCCATCCATTCTTTGATTTCAGAGCTGGGTATCTGGAAAACCCTATCAGTCCTTAGCCAAGGGTTGAGACAAATCCTTTTGGAATCCATCCCTCTAGCACTCTGCTGACTTTCTCCCATGCTTGGTGGGATCCCACAAAACAATGGGAGCCAAGAGGAAGTCCACTCACCCGGAACTCAGGATCAGGGCTGCTGCAAAGCAGATGGGTCTGGGATGCTGAGCCAAGGAACTCCAAGCGATTCCTCGCCCATCCTTACCTCAGACAATTTCTAGGAGCCATAGGATTGCTCCCTCCATTGTTTTTCTATTTCTTTCCTTGGACAGATTCAAAGCTTATTTTACCATCTTGATTAATCCAATGGGGCACCATTTGAGGGCAACTGCTTGTTTGCATTTGGAATCAAAATGGCAACAATCAGCAGTTCACCTGGACATTTTGCCACCAAACCTGTAACACCCCAGGTGAAACTATCCTCTCCAACAATGAAAGGGAAAATCCACCTGGCAGGCAGCCACCCTGAGCATAAGTTATGCGCAGAGGCAAGCATGCCTGTGCCTCTCTCTCTCCCACTCCTAGCTGTAGAGGGGGAAGTAGAGATTGTTAGGTTTTCTCTGTCCTTGCTGGGCCCCCCAAGGTCAGAGCATCTGTTGGGCACAGAGGCATCTCTTCTCTCTTCCACTCATCCAGGTTGAACCTTGGGAGGTTTTCCCCATCTGCACATGGGAGTACACTCCTGTACTAGCTCACAGTTTGGAGGTGGAGAGAGAAGAGGAGACTTTTTCTTGGAGTTTCAGAGACTCAGCCCAAGGTCACTGACAATTCTCGTGTGAGTCCTACTTACTGGCAAGTAGGGCTCACTGTAAGTGTAACCAAATGCATATGAGTAGCAGTTGTGGGAGTATTTTAAAAGGAATTTTCCCTCCCTCTCTAGTTCATCCAAGGACTCCTGCAGATTTAACTGTGACTGACAACGGCCCAACTAATCTCATTCTGTCTTGGAATTTACCTGGCAGCTTCAAGGGAATTAAGCTTCAGTGTGAGGTTCAGGTTTCCACCAGCAATTCCAGAGAAAAACTGGTAGGTGTCTTTTTATTTGCATTGTACTTTAATGGCTTTGGGTATATGTTTAGCACAACTCTTGCCATTTCTGTAGATGGCCTTCCAGGGCCTCCATACTGCTCAGTCTTCATGAACTGGACTGCTGCGGGAGCTTGCTGGTGCTTCTCCCCCCTTTCTTTTGTGTAGGAATCCCCTCTTTATTTTTAGAGCAAACCATGATGCAGCATTACATCTTCCCCTGCTTTTTCTTGAACGCACTCTTGCTTCCCTGACTGCATTGTGTGGGCAAATCCATTGTCTCCCCTTAATCTTTTTTAAACCCATCTTTTCTTTCCCCTTTTCACACTGTAGATCATCTTTAAACATGGCGACAGTTAGGGTTGGGAGGGACCTTAGAGGAATCTGTTCCTGTGTTATTCATGGACTTCCTTTCATGCTTGACCCAGTCTTGCAAAGCGAGCTGAGCAGAAGAAGTCTGCACATGTTTGTGGAACAAAGGTTGTGCAAGCAGCAGCCTTCTTTTGCACCAGGAGCAGCAGCAAAATGGCATAGAAGCATAGAAGAGGGATGCTAATGGACCGTACATGAAGCTCAGTTCCTGGTGAATGGCCCACAATCACTGGTGCTCTCACCAGGAACCGAGAACTTGGACTCAGGGCCACTGCTAAGCGGACTGGAGGCTGGGGAGCCAAGCCAGTGAATCCAGTGATTCCCACCCTGGACAGAGATGATGCTTGGGGCATGTGTGCATTTGGTGGCTTATTTTCCTGCTGGGTTTTGGTTGGACTGGCCCGTGCAGTTGGCCTTGCCTTTGTGATTGCGTTAGATGCAGCCTTTGATTACGTGGGGCTATTTCTTGGAGGAAAAGCAGGTCCCACACTGTTGTGCCAGATATGAAAGGGGTGTATAAGCTAGCAACTGTCTGGATAAGATTGTTTTTCATTTATACTAAAGCACCATGTATACCGATTGCATTATGAAAATATGCAATAATGATCTCAATTCTAGCAGTACAGTACTTTTGTCCTGAGGAAATGTTTGTGTTTTTGTTTGGTTCTTTTCAATCTGCAGAAAAAGAATCTGGATGGTGCAGAAAATTCACGGTATACTATCTCAGTAGACACATTGCATCCCTACACAGTTTATAATTTCCAGGTTCGCTGCGCAGCTGCTGAGCCCTTCTTCTGGAAATGGAGCACCTGGAGCAAGGAAGCACAGCATGAAACTCAGCAAGCCCGTAAGTCTATTGAGGAAAGTTTATTGAGGAAAGGATTGTTGCAAAGCACAGGTGTGACTGGTCCATTAATGAGCCAGAAAGAGCAAACAAACAAACAAAAAAACCCCAATCCCCCATCCCCCGAATATTGTTGTGAGGGTGAAGGGAAGGCACTCTAAATTTGCCTTGGAGCATTTTCCCAGGTCAGAGCTGAGACTCTGAAATATCTTCTCACCAGCCAGCATTTATCAGCTCTAGGATTACACCCTAATCACCTTCAAATCAAGGTACCACAGAAATAGTTCCAGGCTAGGTTCAGTTTTGGCTTTGTACTCTCAGGGGTTAGTAAAGGAAAAGCATTTTATTAATCTTTATATCACATCAGAGTGGCAATAGTTTCTTCAGCAAAAAGAAATGCATAAGATTCCAGAACAATAGTAATTTTGAAGAAGGCAGTTTTCCTTAAATGTGTCCTGTTATCAAAGATTCAGATATCAATAAAATGTAAGCAGAGCTCTCATCTAAATAGCATGCTGAATAAGACAGTTCAGCTGCCAGGTGCTCAGACTTGTTTTGCTTTTTTTTTTTTTTTTGTTTACATTTTGTACTGTCTCATAAATTTTAGCTCACTGTTACATCTTTAAAAATTCAGGTAAAATTAAAGCATGCAAGCAAGGTTTCAAGTTAAGCATACTAGGTAAGATCATATGATTCATCCTGAATCATATCTTTGAGAAAACTCCTAGCTTGCAATATATTACTTAAATCCATGTGTATCAGCTTTTCTAGATAACTGTATATCAGCTTTTATGATATTCTATACATTATACAATATTTGTTGGCCATTAATTGTCAACAGTGAACGGATGAGCACAAAGTCTAAATGCATTTTTAGGGTTGAGTAGCAAAATGTTATATTTAGCTATATTGCAACAATTTTCAAATAACCCTTGACACCAGACGGAATGTTTTATGGATCTTCAGTCTTAAAATAACCATTGACATTTTGTGATGGACTTCTCGGCATTCTTTCCTTAGACATTTGTTTTCCTTAGCCAGAACTAGCTATCCCCACTTTTGACCAAATAAATGGCAGTAGCAGTATCCAGTATTGGGGTAGCAGTATCCAGACCACTTGGTCAATTAATTTCTGGCAATAGATACCCAGAATTCATGGAGGTCTTGTTGTCTTCTTATGCATTTTCTTTTTAATACGATAACTATTTTTAGTTTTTTATCTCCAAAATTGTAATTATGCATCACTAAGGCATTATATATAGATTTCAGCAAGGTGGACTAGTCTTCTCAGGCAAAATCTGATATTTTCTGAAAAAAATTAGAGAAGGCTACTTAAACATAAAACTACCTGAAATAATAAGAAGAAACTTCTTCCATAGGTGCTGAAAGGAACGATTGTTATAAACAGATGATATGGCCCAAAAGCTCTTCTCTAATTATGCTTATGTGTCAACTAATAACAAGTTGTTGTTGTTGTTGTTTGGTGTAATTGCAGTTCTTCTTTTCTAGCTCCAGCGGGACGGTTAGATGTCTGGAGGGAGAAAAGTGCTGATGGTGAGACTGTAACCATTTTTTGGAAGGTATGAGTCTAGCTGCTTAAATTTATCATGAAATGTACTGTTTTTAGATGCCACACTGGTTGCCTGTAATTAAGCTTTCTGTAAACTGATCACACAATGATTTCTGAAGAAGGCTATCCACCTTAAGGGCTATTTTCTTCATGTAATATTCAAAAGAGTAATGGCTTCATAAAAACACTCTCTGTGTGGTAGCATGGAAAGTTTCCATGAATATCTTGTAGATTGTTGTCACATGGGATCTGTTTTGTTATACCATTCAATCATACAAGTGTGTAGTAAAGGTTGGTTCTTTTGATGGACTATTCTGCCATATTTCAGTGGGTTGTGAATTCATGAATCAGTCTTACTAACTTCATTACAGTGTCCTTAGCCAAGCATGTGTCCTCAGTCAACCAATCACATCACAGGTTAGCTGAATTTTGGTGACCCTTTAGCTATATTCTGTGAGCTTAAGTGGACTCCAGGGGATGGTGGAGGACAGGAAGGCCTGGAGGAATGTTGTCCGTGGGGTCGCGATGGGTCGGACACGACTTCGCAACCAACAATAACATAGCTATATTCTAGGAACACATCTGAATCAGGAATTTCTACTTATGTAGGGGAATAAGGCTGTTACTTGCTGCACCCTCAGGGTCCCCAGTTCTGCCACTCCAACCCGGACCTTCCCATATTGGGTGGGAAGTTCTTAAAGGTGTTTCCTGTGTGCTTTAGGTTGAGCATGTGTGGCAGCCTACTCATGAGGGCTGTTTTTCATGGCCTGCCATAATAATTACAGTGCGTGCAAGAGCTCGCAGAGCTGCATCCTCTTGTGTGGGCTCGCTGTTGTATGGAGATGATGGTGATTTTTACTGATTGGGCAGTTTGCTAGCAGTCTATAAATGGTTTCTCTCATGCTCAGCGAATGGATTGCAGCAAGATCCTTGCTGTCGTTGTTTCGTGCTCTCATGTGATCTCCAGCTAGGGGCAACCCTATAAATGAATGCTCTGCAGAATGTTCTGTCCTGGACAGTTTGGCTCAATTCCAGGCTGTGGCTTCTTTTATGGAAGCCAGCCATCTCATATTTGGTCTTCCTCTTTATCTTTTGCCTTCCATTTTCCCAATCATTATTGTCTTTTCCAGTCAGACTTGCCTCCTCTTGATATGCCCATAGTATGACAGCCCTGCTCTGTCAATTTTGCTTCCAGAGCTTGTTCTGGCTTGATTTGATCTAGGACCCACTTGTTCACGTTTCTGTTGGTCCAGGTTATTTGCAAAGCTTCTCTTCCAGCACTTTGCTTTAAATGTATTGGATTCCAGCCTGTCAGCTTTCTTTACTGTCCAGCTTTCAAACCCATACATAGTGATTGGAATACAGTAGTGTGGATGATCTAAGCTTTGGTCCCCAGTGAAATATCTTTACACTTGATGATCTTTTCTAGTTTCTTCATGGATCGCCTTCCAAGTTTCCATCTTCTTCTAATTTCTTGGCTGCAGTCCCCAACTGACTTAAAGCTTGAACCAAAGTATACAAAATCTACAATTTCAGCGTCTTTACTGTTGACATTAAAGTTATGTGGTTCTTCTGTAGTCATGATTTTTTGTTTTCTTAATGTCCTGCCTTTGCGTTTTCTTCTTTCACATTTATCAGGAGTCATCTCAATTCATTGTTCAGTTCAGTTCAGCTTGTTTCCTCATTTTACAGATTTTTCAAGAGTATCATGAAAATTTTTTAAAGCGTGCGTTTCCTCCCAAGCTTCCCTTTCTCAATATCTGCAAACTAATTCTCTGCTTGTTTTACAATGTCTTTCTCAACAGCCACTACCCATTCTGGAACGCAATGGATTGATAGAAGGTCACAAAGTGTCTTGTTCCCTGCCAAAGATGACCATGCAGGAATTTGTTCCTGTAGCCTTCAACAGCACCAAAGTAAAGCTTGGCAAAAATGATTGCGTGCTTGCAGTGGTGGCAAAAAATAAGGCCGGCTTCTCTCGTCCTTCTTTGATAAATAGTGCAGAAATTCCAGCAGGTATGTACAGGATGAAATGGAGATTTGGAGAGGCTATGTATTTGTAACCAGCTATTTGTAGGAGGAAAAAAATGGATTTGCTTTAAAAAATAGAAATACTTGTTTTGTGTGGTGGTGTTTGGAAAGGAAAAAAACCCTCTTGGAAAATAAAAGCCATCACAAGTAGGATTCTTGGTATTTCACTCTCCCCTAGAAAACTTCAGAACATCAGGGGTTCTTCTGAGACATCATATTTTCAGCCCACTGTGGCAGACTGAGAGTGCTTGCATGATCAGTGTTCAGTTTGCCAAGTGCTGTGTTACGGTTTTTATTATGTTTTTATTGTGTTTTTATCTTGTGGTTGTGAGCCGCCTAAAGGTGCTGTGGCACAATTGGGTGCCATACAAATGTATGTGTGTATATGAATGAGTAGCTTGCTGCATGCGTGGCTGCGTCACTCCTTTCTTTGTGTGAAAGAATGAAAGGCACACGAGAAAGTGTTTGTTGAACGATGGTTTCCTTCTTTATCAAAACTGGGTCTCTATGGCTAATAGAGTAGCTTTGGAACATGCTGGTATATTAAGCCAACTTCGAGCCAGTCAAGTTTTAGTTCTCTTGCCCTTATTGTGGCTAGTAAGGAATTCCTAACTAGTCAAACACTATGGTTTTCCAGTACACAGGTAGAAGCTTCCTTCCCTTCCTAAATGACTCCTTACATGCACTGCTTCTGCAACCAGTCCCTTGTGCAACAGAACAGAAAAAATATTAATTTTACTGCATTTGTAATACAATATTATGTGGAAAGCCAGTGACTCAAGCAGACTTCATACTCAACTTATAACAATTTTTGGGAGGTACATACATCAGTAATGTTTTCTCTTGATGTCTGTTTGACGCATAAAGTTGCCTTGCATCATTGGACCATTGGTCCCTCTTTGCCAATACTGTCCATGTTGACTAACTGTGGCTCCGCCAAGTCTCAAGCAGACGTGCTTCCCACCATTGCTGTCTGCTAAGGGAAATACTGGTAACTATGCTTCAGTCCTTGTGCATCTGAAACATTTGCTGGAACACAGAGCTGTAGTGAGTCTTTGCTGTTAGGGAGGGTTAGGATATAACAGGTTCTTCGTCGTGGCCTCTGTGCATCACACACATGGGGTGCTGCGCCTGCGCAGTGCCTAGGCTGGAAGATTAGAAAGCTAATGGTTTTTGGCGGGAAAAAGCTCTGCTCCCTCCCCCCACAGTATAAATAGAGCGGAGCGTCCGCCATTTTACTCAGTCTTTGTGACTGCCGTTCACTGTGCCTTGTGCCTGTTCGTCTCTCGCTAGATTTCTCGCGTTGTGCTCCTAACGGTTATACCTTTTTCTACTTACCTTGTTCTTCGTTATATTCCCAGTTCTTTCTCCTCTTCCTTGTTGTAGTTCTTTCTTCTATCTAAATAAATTAAAAAAAACCCAAAAATATTATTCTTACTCTCTGTACTATCATCTCTTTCTTCTTTTTTGCGATGGCACAGCGGGCGGCATTCCGCAAGTGCAGTGAGTGCAACTCCAAAATGTCTCCCGCCGACCCGCACGACTTACGCCTCCTCTGCCTTGGCGAGGGGCATAGAACCGACAAGTGCGGGCATTGCCTGGCCTTTACTAAACAGGCCAGGAAGAATAGGGAGCATCGTCTCCGTAAGCTGCTTTGGGATCAGGTCTTGCTCCAATCAGACCAGTTGGTCCCAAGGCCTACCCCTTCCTTGGCTGTACCACCGCAGCGCTCCGCCTCTGCTTCAGCTGTGCCCTCTAAGCGCCCCGCCTCTGCATCGGCTGCGCCACAGCAGCGTCCTTCGATGGAAGCGCAACAGCTACCTTCTCCTCCAACTAAGCAAAAGGAGAAGCATAAGCATTTGGAACCGGACAAATCCTCCGTGCATAAGAAGCCGAGGAAAGCTAAGGCGGCCCATAAGGGCAAGGAACTTGACCGCCCCAACCACTGGGGCTCGGGTTCGTCGGGGTTCTCTGTACCGACCGCCGCTACGGTACCAACTCCCTCGGGACCGGCCCTGCAATTGGCGATGCAGGTGACTCTGCCAGGATACCCCAGGCCTGTGCTTCGGCCTGAGAGCGTGTCTCCCCCACCAGAGCCACCACTTCGGGAGTCCATCTCCGACGGAGAAATTAGAGATTCCCCACCGGGGCAGCGTTCTCCGACTCCGATGCCTACTGCTGGGCCATCTGAGAAAGAACAGTCGCCGCCTAGGCGTAGGAGCCGCTCATTGGAACGCCAGGGGGATGACTGGCCTATGCCGGGTTATGGCGGTTTTCCCTACTGGAGTGGCTATCCACCCTATGCCTATTACCCTCGTGACCGTCGTTCACCATCGATCCCGAGAGAGACGCCGTCCACGTCCGGCCATGCAGAACAAAGACCTCCGCCTTCTCCCGAGACCTCCTCGACTAGCGAACACTACCGCTACCACCAGGACTCGGACAAGTCAGAAGTAGACTCCACGTCCCTGGATGTGGCCATCACATTCCCAAGACCCTTCCCAAGACCCTGGATCTCCGGACGAGCCTCATGTTTCCTTCTTGGAACTCGTCTCTCGTCTGGTTCAGTCGCTGGAAATAGAGGCCTACCATCGCCCCGGCCTCAGCACCGACCGACTTTACGATATTGTCCGGGGAGAACAGTCCGCAACCATTGCCTTGCCTCTAATTGCCACGCTCCGCCAGGCAATGGTCCGGCCCTGGGACCAACCGGCACAACCGCAAGCAACATCTCGTCAGTACAAGTCTACCGGGTCAGAGAGGAAGATATTCCATTCTTGCTGCGCCACCCTAAGCCCAACTCTGTGGTGGTCGAGTCGTCCCAGAGCAGGGAGGCTCAGGGCCATACAAAACCCCAAGATAAAGAAGGGAGGAAAATTGATATGATTGCACGTCGGGTCTATGCGGCTGCAGGACTTGGCGTGTGCATATCGAATTATGAAGCAACTCTGGCATGTTACCAGTACTTCATAATGCAGAAGCTGGATAACGTTGCCTCCTCCCTTCTGGACCAACAGGCAGACCTAGCCAGGGTCTTTATAAAAGAGGCAATGCAGGTGGCCATACAGCAGTTGTCCACAGCAAGACATCACATGGACACTGACTCTCGGTCCATGGTCAGTGCTATCTCCTTACGACGACATGCGTAGGTCAGGAATTGTAATTTTCCTGAAGAGATGAAGCGGAGGATAGAGGAGATGCCATTCGATGGCACTGGTCTTTTCCACGTGAAGACTGATCGAAAACTCAAAGCCATCCACGAATCCCGCATGACAGCGCATCGCATGGAGCTCCCACAAACTAAATGTAAGTGGTCATGGTCCAGGCCTTATGGACGCCAACATTACCAGCAGAGGCAGCAGCGTAGAAGGCAACAGCCCCAACAGTGCTTCTCTCAGGGCTGTCGGCACTTCGACTCCGAGAAACGCCCTCGTTGACGGTCCCGGCGAACCAATTCATCTTGCCATTCCCCACCTTCCCTTCTCCCTTTCGGGAGCCAGCTTCAAAACAGACTCCCCATTTGGGAGACCATTACATCTGATAGGTGGGTTTGTCCATCATTCAGCTTGGATAGAGAATAGAATTCGACATCGTTCCACCATCGAGCCCTATCCGATTTACCCCACCATCTTCGGTTTTGTGCGATGAGGTCTACCAACTTCTTCGTAAAGGTGCGATTCGACAACTTTCCCGCACTGATGGGCTTCACGGATTCTATTCTCGATATTTTACGGTCCCCAAACGGGATAGTGGTCTTTGACCTATCCTGGATCTCAGGAATGTCAATAGATACATTAAACCAAAGAAGTTCCGGATGACCACCTCACAGAATATCCTTCCGTTGCTGAAAAAAGGGGATTGGTTTGCCTCATTGGACTTGAAGGATGCTTATTTTCATATCTCTATCCATCCTTCCCATAGACGCTTCCTGCGATTTACTGTTGGATCCGATATTTTCAAATTCAATGTGCTCCCGTTCGGTCTAGCTACGGCACTGAGAGTCTTTACAAAATGCATGGCTCCAGTATGTGCCCACCTACGGCTTCGGAGTATACAAGTCTACCCCTACCTAGATGATTGGCTCATTGTGTCACAGACTAAGGACAACCTCCTTGCGGCTGTCCATACGACTTGTACTTTGCTTGATAACCTTGGACTATGCATTAATCTTAAGAAATCGTCACGTATCCCGACACAGGTCATCGATTTCATCGGGGCACGTATCGACTCCATTCTACAAAGAGTGTTTCTTCTTCCATCCCGCGGAGCCACGCTGTGTGCCCACATCCATCGGATCCGACGACTAAGGACAGTGCAAGCCGTCAGCATACAAAGACTACTGGGGCACCTGGCAGCCTCAGTGGCCATTGTGCCTTACGCAAGACTCAGACTTCGGCCGCTTCAATTGTTCTTCAACAGATAGTTTCACCCGCAACAGGATCTACAAACCAGGCTTCTTCGGATCCCATCCTCGGTCCTTCATTCTCTGATATGGTGGACTTTTACACGCATCCTATCTACAGGCGTTCCGTTCCGTCAGCCCCAGCCAACTGTGACATTGTACACTGACGCGTCCCTCATCGGATGGGGTGCGGCATGTGCAGGACTTAGGGTCCAAGGAGCTTGGAACCGACAGGAAGCGGGGAGACACATCAATTTCCTCAAGCTTCTAGCGATTTTCAACGCTCTCAAATCCTTAGAAACTGTTATACACAGCCAAGTTGTGCAGATTGCATCCGACAACATGGCTGCTGTCTTCTGCGTCAACAAGCAAGGCGGAACGAGGTCTCCGCTCTTGGCCCAATTGTCAATGCAGATCTTGGATTGGTGCATCCCAAGGGACATAATATTACTGGCGGTGCACCTTGCAGGGACCGACAACGTAGAAGCGGATACACTGAGCAGGCAGATGTCAACGACTCACGAGTGGGAGTTGGACTGGACAATTTGCAACGAACTATTCCAGTTGTGGGGATACCCGGAAA